AGGGTTACAAAAAGGTTGAATTACCAAATTACCCTTATCATTAATTTATAATTTAGATTTGAACCTAAAGTGAAGAAAGAATGTGATTGGTCAAGATCGGTTTCCATAGTTTGTACCATATGGTTGGTTTCTATTTGAACCAACCTCTATATATATATATATATATATAAAAGCAAAACTGATAAAAAATGAGGTGGTGAGAATGAAACATTCTTCCTAGAAATATTGTGAGTTTTTATAATTTTGTAAAATACTTAAAATGTTGAAATACTATTTTGCCTATATTTGTTGTTTGCAAAATTACAAAAATAGCCCAACTCATTATGAGATAGATACATTCTCGATATAGGACAAGATAGCATTAATTTGCACGTTTAAATTGAAAACTATATAAGAAAAAACAAAAAAACGTATCGTAGTTTGACGCATACAGAAATAAGAATAGAATACTTAAAACGCTTGAAGGCAATTTGTTTTTTAGGTTTGGGTCTACGTGATACTGTATTGCATTTGTAAGACCTGTAAGACCATAAAATGACATTGAAACTTTACAACAAAATATTGTGAAGGGCAAATTGCATGAAAAAGTAACGTACTTTAACTTGATTCCTATTTTGAGTAACGTACTTTCAAAACTTTCATTTTGGTACCTATTGATAGAGCAAATTGCATGAAAAAGTAACGTACTTTAACTTGATTCCTATTTTGAGTAACGTACTTTCAAAACTTTCATTTTGGTACATAAGATGTAAAGTTTTAAACATTTAAGTAACTGGGTAACTGATTGAAGTATTAACCGATTATCATGCTGATGTGGCGAGTGATGTGGTATCCAACTCGGTATTATTTGCTGACGTGGTCAGTGACATGGATTTTTTAAAATCTAAAATTAGTCTTCTTTTTTAGTCTAAAATTAGTCTTTCCGGGTTACCCCGGTACTTAAATGTTTAAAACTTTACATCTTAGGTACCAAAAAATGAAAGTTTTGAGAGTACGTTACCCAAAATAGGAATCAAGTTAAAGTACGTTACTTTTTCATGCAATTTGCCCTATTGTGAATATACATTGAACCTTTATAGTAAAAATATTGTGACGGTAAACCTTCATGGCGTTTTTGTTGTGTGTGTGTATATATACTAGAAAGGCACTCGCATAATGCAACGCGATGCATTTTCATTTTAATGTTTCGTTTAAATTTTGTCTCTATTGATATAATACAGTTTATATGGTTTTGAGAAAGATAATGTTTTTACTTTTAAATAAAAATAAATTTAAAGATATCATAAAATTTTAAAAGAATATATTACTTTATATTTATCTAACTCACATTCTTTCTCTCATTATTGTAGTCATATGATTGGTGGACATGAATAAGACATAAAAAATTGAAACAAGTGATTTTATCCATTACTCATAGGTCAAAACCAGTTCGAATCAAACAGATAAATTTTGAGAATGAGCTGAAAAATGGATTAATCCGATAACACTTTTCAAAAATGATCCAATTTTTTAGTCAATGTTTGGCAAACTAACCGATAAGCTATTCAGTAGTCAAAAAGCTAGCTAATTAACTAACCACGTTAAAACCGTTTGACTCGGTATCCTTTCTAACAAAAAAAAAAATCACTACACACGATGAGGGCTGTAAACGAACCGAACACGAACAAGGTTGTTCATGTTCGTTCGTTTAACTTAACCGAACGAACACGAACGGTAAATGAATGAAAATCTTTGTGTTCATGTTCGTACGTTTAGAAATCAGGTATGTTCGTGTTCGTTTATGTTCGTTCGTTTAGAAATCAGGTATGTTCGTGTTCGTTTATGTTCGTTCGTTAACATGCTAAACGAACGTAAACGAAGAAACATAGACGAACGGACTGAACGAACATAAACGAACGGGCTAAACGAACATAAATAAAGATTATCTGAATTCAAAGTATATAACCAAAAGATTATATATTAAATTTAAAATATAAACGAACGAAAACGAACGGTAAATGAACGAACGAGACTCTTGTTCATGTTCATTCGTTTAACTAAACGAACAAAAAGAATTGTTCATGTCCGTTCAATTATTAAATAAACGAACTTCCCGCCGAACAGTTCACGAACGGTTCGATGAACGTTCGGTTCGTTTACAGCCCTACACACGATTGTCACTAAAATACAACTCGAATTAAACAATTTTCACACAAACAAATTGAAATAGTCCGATTTCTCATGTGCCATTGAACTTGGGAGGCCAAAATTCCATAACAAATTAAACACAAAAACATCAAATTGAATCAAAAGAAAACCGATTGCGAAATCTGGAAAAAAGAAGAGAGAATGTACAGCATTATAAATGCATACGAGAATGAACGCTCGATGGTATCTATTTTTTTTGTTTCGTTAGAACAAGCACACGAAGCTTTTCGTTACCAAAAAAAGGCTTAATGCAAATTAATAAAATTTTGATCGAAGATTAAAAGGGGATCCTCTAAAAGATGTCGGTTACCTTGCTTGCCAGAACGCGTTCTCGTCTTTCGATGTATCCAAGCGGAAACCAACCTGCTTTCCCTTTGCATTCACCTTCACCCCAACCATTGTTGGAAACCTGCAAAAAACGGTTTCCAGTTTTTTTTTTCTTTCATTATTGGATCCATGTAACCCATCTGATGGGCCAAGTTTTGCAACCATAAGCTAACTTATTTCTTGAGCTTATTGAAAAAGCCCATTTGGATGGGCATAACTAAGCTAGCTTATTGAAAAAGCCCATTTGGATGAGCATAACATAAGCTAGCTTATTGAAAAAGCCCCCTTTGGATGGGCATAAGCTACCTTACCAAGTAGTGTTTCAATAAGCTCCAATGGTATCTTGTTAATGAATATTAATTGTAAATTATTCATTAATATCAATTATTAATTTTTAGAAAATTATTATTAGCCATATTAAATATAATTATATTATTATTGTTATCGGAAAGGGTCACGAGAAGGGGAAAACACTCATTTACTATAGTCAATCACATGTGATGCTATATTTTATCCAATATGAGAATCAAATATATGGTAGGCCCTCTCACGTGTATTATGAGTATTGTCACATGTGAATATGTGATATGGGTGTTCTTGATGTGATACTATAATACATCACATGTGATACTAAATCAGAGATGCATATGACATTTGGCGCGACCTAGGTCACAAGACACGTCGTCTGCACACCACCAGGTCCCTTCACGTGTATTATCAATGTGGTAAGGGTGTTCTCGTGTCTTAGTAAAATGGAGGTGTTCTCGTTTGAATCTCCACCTAGACTCTTATTCTTCTGCCTACGTCAATTCAATACCAACCCAGTAAATTAATAAGGCTTTTCGACTTCTATTGCTTCTTCTCTCCAAGACTCCAACAAACAGCCAACGATTGCTTCTTTGCTCTTCTCTCCAACGTTTCTCTGTTTCTTATGTATATTAGTATATACATGTTTTTAGGTATAATCTGTTTATATATATATATATATATATATATATATATATATATATATATATATTCTGTTTTATGTGCATATCTGTTATATCTATCTATATATATATTATGTATAGATATATATTCTGATTTATGTACATATTCTTGTGACTAATTTGTTGTACATAAACTGTTTTAATATATAAACTTTGTACATATATATGTGTGTATGTGTGTGTGTAAATATTCTGAATCATGGGCTTTATAGTTTGTTTATTTGTATGGAAATATGAAGTTATGTTTTTTTTTTGTTAGGTGCACAGAATTATAATTTTATTGTTTAATTTTTTGGGGCTTACGTCTTGACCACCTCGAGGCTAACGCCTCACGTACCTAAGAGGAAAACACATCGAGGCTAACGCCTCACGTACCTAAGGGAAAACACCTCGAGGCTCGTTTCCGTTCTTTAAAACCTTGGTTTTCACTCATGGTTCAATCTAGCAATCATAATTCTTTAATGCATTCATTTCTACACGCCAAGACCTTACTACGTGTGGGACTTACTGGGTTTGTTTAGTTTGGTTTTATTCATGCGTTGCATTCGCACCTAACGCTTTCAAAGGCACCCGTGGTAAAAAAAAATTGTAAAAGCGTATGAAATATTCTTTGTTTCATGGGTACATAAATAAGAGTAGCACATTCTAGGAAACCATGAATGCATAAAATTAAAGCAGATCACGTACCTTTCTGATAACAACATAATCACCAAGTGATAGACTGAGCTCCACATCAGACTCGGCCTGATATGAATATATCACCTGAAAAGAAAGGTTTAAGTTCCGATGGAAGGAAAGCACTAAGAATCCATTAAAACCGACGTTAACATTTCATCAGTAAAATTTAAATTATGTTGGTTAATTGTTTCCAATAAACTTAAGACTTACCTCTCCTAAAAAGTAATCCACTTCATCATTCAAACCATTTTGCATTGGTGAAGTAAATGTGTTATTTACTTCTTCGTATGATGGAGGTGGAGGCATTTCCACAGGCGGAGTAGGAGCTGCTTCAATTCGTTGTCGCTCTGATACCATCTGCAAGTACACCATCAAAACAAAATTATAGAAGCTCATGAGAATTTTTTTGTACCAAGAGGACATCAACAATTTAAGCCGAATTTTAGCCACCCAACATGCACAAGGCCCGAGATTTCTTTTATCAATCATTTGTTTTAAGGAGGTTGAGCATTAACATATATGTTTGTGGGCCTGTCTAAGGCTCGGTTCGATCACCTTAAAAAATGTAACCACCAGAGAAGATTCCCAAGATATTTAAAGCTATAGTTAGATTATGAAAAAGTTCTTCTCTAAAATAGATTATGCTCTTACAACTGAGGTGTCGAGTGGCATTCGAGTTAGTGTAGTTCCAAGAGATTTTATAAATCGAAAAGAAAACTCTAGATGACACACATCTATACATCTATTCCACCCCACCTCCCTAATCTTGCAAAGTACCAAGATTATCAGAATTAGAGTATGAGTAGATGTGAAAAGTGAGAACACAATATTTGCATACCTCGCCTTCAAGCTGATCCAGAATCTGAAGAACCTTTTGATGGTAGGCACGTTCCGATTCAATCTTATAAAAAACAAGTTTCAGATAACACATCATAATACATTGAATATATTAGCGGATCAAGTGGAGAGGTTCTACCATGGAAATTAACCTCTGTAGAGTCATTTTTTGTTGTTGAGCTTCAACAGCAGCCATTGCTGATGCTGCCTCCCTTCCTAATATTCCCATGTTGGATTTCAAATCTTGCAATTTTGAGTTTGCTGCTTCAAGTTTCGTAAGTATGTCTGGATTCCCAGTCCCTTCTCTAACTCTTGCTTGTCTTTTCGAAACTTCAACAGCCTTGAAAATTTTAGGGGGTAAAAGTAGAGTTACATTAGTGTCGGAAGATGTTAGATGGCAAGTTTCAGTAAAAACAATTACGCAAAATGAACCCCAAATGTGCATGAGGAAGAGAGGTAAAAAGAAAATAATGAAATCAACCAGACTATCAATAAACATAATTTTAAGCTCAGCAAAATCATATATTTTTTAAACAGCACGATGAAATACCTGTGCTTCAGCCTCTTGTCGCATTCTATCATAACGTTGAGCAAGATGCCGGGCATCTTCAAGTGGAGCTCCCATTACCATCGCTCTTAGTGGCTCTGCGACCTGTGCACGATTTCCCGTATTTAAAAAGGTGAATAACGGTGGTGGCAAAAGCCAAAACTAAGCAAGCAACGAACAAATCAAAATATTGTGAACTGTTGGATGAATAGGGCTTTTTTTTATCTTTTACCGGCTAGCCACACTACATAATAGCATGCTCCCCAATACTGCAACCATCTTTTCTTTGGACAGTTCCTTCTATAGTATCAGAGCCAATAGCTCCTGGTGCTAACCCCACGTCCCCATCTACTCACACTAAAAGCCACAGCAACTCGATGCCAGCACCTCTACAACCGTCCATCTTCAACCGGTGGTGCATCTGACTCAAGGCTTCACAGGTCCCTGTTTGCACTCTATTCTGATCGAGAGGAGCATGAGCCCAAAATGTTAGTGCCGCCTGATCGGGCTAGCACCATTGGTGCCACGGTCCTATACACAGTCTAAGGTTAATTTTGGTCGATAGTTCGATACATAGACTTTTTAGTTCATGGCTGCATTGTGGGACGACATCTGCACAACTCCATCGATGGCATCTGTCACTATCTCTTTGACACCCCTCAAGAAAGTGGTCTCTGGTCAAACCCATCACACCCACTCTAAGTAATTCCAGGTTTTGAATTATTTCATCTCTGTCGTTTTGACATGACACCGCTTTCTTTTCTTCAATCCTATTTTTACCTCGATGTCGAAGTTCATTGGAATTATTCTTGATGAATTTGTTGTCAATAACTTTCAGTCAGTTCTGTTGTCAATTGACTTTAGGGGATTTTTGTCGAGATGGATGAAAATACTGGTGCCTTTGGTGCATCTGGCCTGAGCACAGGGTTAGATATAATGAAGATCCCAAAGAACTAGATTTGGAGGTTGAATTTAGTATGTCACCATTGGCACAGTAATATTCACCTGAATATTCACCCCACTACACATATATTACCTCTCATTAGTTTGCTATATGTAGTGGCATATTCGGTTATCTTTTTCCATCAGGTGCAAGACATCTATGCCAAGAAATGACGTGTGAACTGTTATACATCAGACTCCCAAATCAGTGCATGATTAGTTTCTTGGGTTCAGGATAGTCATTCCTTGTCTAAGACATATAGACTCGAGCAATTTTGGATTAGCTTGAAGAGTGGTACATAGGTTTTGAGACAACTTCGGACCAAGTTGTTCTGAATTGTGCTGCAACACTGTCATCTATTCCAGATTTCGGTCGGCCTATGCTTTTGGAAACACTAAAGATTGCTACTACCTAATCCACCATTCTATGAAATATATGAACTCTTACATGCCCTCCGACCAGAATGCAGGGAGTCCTTGTATTTACAACTTTAAAGAAGATGTTCTAAGAGGCTTTTATCGTTTGGGAAAACTTTAGGATGGATATGGTGAGAGCTCTGGCAAGGATGTAGGGATATGTATCCATTGTTATTTGTAGTCCCACCAAGTTTCATTGTTCAGAATTCTAGACAAGGCAATGTTAGGGTCTGCGTTTGACTGGTCCATAAGTTCAACAGTATTGCTTATGTTGTTTCTTCTGCTTCAGGTGTCTATCCCATCTCAGAGAGGGGAAGCTTAATTTAATTCACGCTTTTGTTCTACAGCTTATTGGGTCTTCTAAGTAATTCAAGGGAAATAAATCGGTGTAGATACAATCATCTCAGAAGGCACCGTGTTGCTGCTAGTGTTACATTTCTTAAGTACAGTTATTTTTTTCTCTGTTCAGTAATATATACATCAGCTGCATCTTCTGTATTGATCCCTATTTGCATCTTTTTATACTATAAAAGGATGGCAAACATTGCTTTGGAATGTAAATGGAGGGGATTCAGCTTTGCACATTGAAAGACAAGGTGTGATTGCCACTTCTTGTAATCAGAATTCAGAAGAGACCAGTGGAATTCACCCTATAAAATAAAAAATAAAACCCTAACAGAAAATAGAGAGGGAACGGAACTTTTGAAGATATCGCTACAGCACAGGAATAAGTGAATGAAGGGCAATAAATCAGAAAATATAAAACACATGACCAGTCTACAGGTTTGTTACCTCATTCTACACATGGTTTTCCTTCTTCTCTTCTTTCTTGCATCCATCTATCTATTTTTTATCTATTTTCATAAGCACTTCAAGAGGACTTCATATATCATTTCCTTTCTCTGTGAGACATGATTCTAGAAAATTACTTGCATCACCATTTGATTACCAATGGAAATCGATGGAGGAATATGATCAATTGTTTGCAGGTCATTCTAATTTGCTACACTTTTCTAATCAAGATTGTTCTTTGAAATGTGTGATGCCAGAATTGCTTGAATTTTCCAACCAAACCTGATGGCAGAATTATTTATTGCCTGATAGGGAAATTTATTTATTAGCTATATATAATGCTTGTCCTTTGAAAGTCATGAAGCTGTCTTGTTAGATGATGCCATGATGATTGGTTGTTGAAATTGTGATCATAGTGGTCGAGGGAGTTGTTCTACTGTATGAAATCTGTCTAAAAATAACATAAAATGGATCAACCTTAGCTTCCATCATGAACCTTGCTTCCATTAAGGCACATGCCTTACTTCAGAAAAAAGAACCTTCCACCCCCCCCCCCCCCAAAAAAAACAAAAAAAAAAGAATGTTAGAAGCAGGTGTTAGTTCAAACATAGTGTCATTTTTGGAAGGATGCCAACAGAGATGAAAATTTGGTTAAGCGCCCCACCTACTTAAAATCATAATAATAGACAACAAACCACAAAACTGCCTACACGTGCGCATAGTTTGTTTCTATGAATACAAGTAACATAGTACACCATCCTAGACTAAGAAGGATGATGCAAACCTGTGTCCCAAATGATTTAAGTAGGTTTCCGCGTTCCTTCTCCATCTGGGCACGAGCTCGTGAAAAGTTTTTTGCAGCTCTAGATAGCGTACTACCACTAGTGCATGTGTTCTCAACACCATATTTTCTACTATCTTCAGACAATTTAGTTCCTGTTCAAGATATGTGTTCATGTGAATTTACAACACCATGTCCATCTGATGGACTAAAACTAAGGTTCAAGACTAGCATCACCAACTTACCTATTTCAACTTGTTTGGAACCGGTAACTATATATCCTTCAACACCACGAACAATGTCCCTTTGAAAATGCTGAAAGTGAAAAGGGAGCAGACTGTAATGACGAGAAGAAAAAAATATTTTATTATGAGAAATGTTAAGGATTATGTTCCATTGAGCTTCATGAAATCCATGACCATTAACCCTACAAAAAAACTTTTATGCGAACATGTCCTTGTAATTTTCAGCAATGGCACGAGACAGATATTGCCCAAGAGTTTGGCTTAAAAAGCCTGCTTAAGTTTCTGATGAAGCCTGAGTTCTTTAGTACAGAAAAACAAGCACCTCCAACAGGAGGGTAAAAAGCAACCTTGGCAGCACGTGTAGATATGTATAGTTTCTCAAGTTTCTGATGAAGCCTGAGTTCTGCCTCATCTGTAACAACATTATCCGAACCTCCATAGCCTCCACCACCAAACTGCTTGAAAACCGCCTGGAAGTAAATTTTATTGGTGATGAGAATAAAAATATCGAAATTTATAAGGTTTCACATGTTAATCCCAGATATCTATAAAATCTAATAACAAAGGTAAACAATCAACATGATGTGTATCACATAAAAGTAAATGATAAGAAAGATCTCCTAAACATAACCAAAATATGCTACAAGCACCAGTCGCTACCACCCAAAAGAGGTCGTGTATTTTCACAATTAGTATGCTACTTTGACAAGTTCCTGCATTATGTTTGAATAAGTTGTTGAAACATTAATCATGTCGTTGTGATTTTTTAATATGTAGACCCCAAATTGCACAAATGAAGTTAAACCCACAGAATGTAGAAGAGAGCATCATCGAAAAGCTACACCAAGTACTTTATGGTGAATGAATGGATTTAAGAGAGTAATACCATCCATTAATGAAGTGCAAGGATTGTATTTTTCAAACATAATATATAATATTAATCACAAGGGTGGTGCCTGAATGGTTTGAGCTTGGCTCCAAAGGTCAAAAGTACCTGGAATTCCCAGGTTCAAATCCAAGGAGGAATAAAAATCCCCTTGTGGCCACGGAAGTTCAAATGTGGTGACTCCGGGCTATCTGCAAAGCAGGTGGTCGTCTGGGATTAGTCGGCTCGCATAGCGAGTTGGATATCCAGGTTAATTAAAAAAAGAAAAAAATAATCTAAAACTCTCGAACAGTTGTGCACATTATTCTTTTAGTACCATGAATAGTTTATGGCAATAATACACAAACAATTTCTAGAATAATTTTGGATCCTGAAAGTTAATTCCTTTGACCCTGATATATTTTAATGGAATCATGACAATTGTTTCAAGCAGCTCTTTTTCAACTGGTTTAGCTTATGAAACCCGCCATTCTCTTTAGAAATGATAAAACTATTCAAGATTACAACATCTGTACATTTAAGACTGCTAAAACTCCATTGAAAGTAACTCATTGCATGACAATTGTTTCAAATCAACATTATGGACTGCTAAAACCCTATTCAAAACCACTCATTGCGAACTGTGAATAACTTCCTATGAATTGTACATTCGGAGAATGATGTTCTGCCCATGAAACTGAAAGATTATACATCTTTCTTTCAGAACCACAAGAATGTTTGAATTGCTAGTTATTGAATCAGGAGTTACTTCCTCTATGCATGCAATTCACCTACATTATGACAGGGTAACCTAATTAATATTAAAATCGACAAATGCTGCCGGATTGAAATTAACGACATCAAATTACACGATGTTTCTTAACAAAAAGTAAACATTGATTACTATGTTGATGTTAAGTTTGCTTAAAATTAGGTATTCACTTACAAAGTACTAATTTTTGACATCGAAATTTGAAATCAAACTTAGCTGATCTTTTGAAACTGATATAATAATTTTGAGAAAGAAAAAGAAGTTAAGATTATACAATATCCTCCACAGATCGTTACAGAATAAATTGTCGCAAACAAAACTAGCAATGATCTGAAAGTGTTTCGCGTTCTAGGGTTTAAATTAAAAGCAAAGAACTTATATGATCGTACCTGTTGTTGTTTGGCAACCTGCTCTCGGAGCTTCGTCGCCTGTTTCCTGATCGCTTCCATTCACGAATTCACTGAAAAATGAAGCGATTATGGACTTTATTGAACTAAGCTTCGCCGGAGATTTGTCCCGACGAACAGATCCAAAACTTTATTTTATTGATTTTGTTATACAGAATTACAGATGAAGTGATTTCTTTTTGGATTCGAAAATTACAAAAATCGTCCCTTGACTATCTCTCAAAATACAAAAGCTTCGACAAGAAGCTTCAATGGTGCGTGGTCTTCTTCTTCTTCAATAACTCTGTTCAAACCATTCTTGAAGATTCAAGGTTTCTATTCACGATTTATTGAATTTGTTGCAATTGGTTTTATGATTCTTGACATTTTTCCTTTCACTATATTTATACATTAATTACTTATATAATTTTAAAAATTACAACAAAGTATATATAGACCGGTAAATCGAATCCATGTTGGTACGTTTCAATATTTATGTTTTATTTTATTTTATTTTCAGTCGATGTTATAATACGGTTTGATGTTGTTTTGAGAAATGATAATATTTTTATTTTTAAATGAAATATATATATATATATATATATATATATATGTCATTAAAAAATTGGAAAAAAATATTAATATTAGTACCAAACTAATTATTTAAAAATATTGATAACATTCACAATGTTTCACGTGTATCACAATGTATTTTCTTTGTTTTATGAAATGTATCATAGTGTGCATTTTCATTATTTTCATTGCTTTACAAATGGTATCACATTATGCATCTTGTATGCATATCCGGGTATCATACTGTATGCCTTGTGTTCACATAAGATTTATCGGAATGAGGTTCGCCAAATAAGATTGCCAAAGAAAGGAAAGATGATATTTATATAATCCCTAAAATGCCCTTAATTTATATTTTAAGTTAAAATTACCAAAATTATTATGTTGTGAATCACAGCAAGCTTATTATACATATATATGATCGAATAAGTTGTGAATCACAAGAAGCTTATTAAGCTGCCAACAAACAAGCCCTAAGAAAACAAATAAGCCACTTAAGTCATTAGCGAGGGTCTTTGTCTGGCATTACCAAACGTTTGACAACTTGTTTACGGTACTAACGTATATTTATACAAAAAAAAAATATTAGTACAATATGATGTTATATCGAAAGAATTCCCGACTCAATGTATCGTATACTTCAAGAATTCCCGACTCAATGCATGGTATACTTCAAAGTTGCTTCAATCTAAAAAATGCACATCAATACTTATCAATGATGAATCCTATACGAACGACTCTAAAGAAGAATAGGAACGAATATTTTGCGGTTAAGTAAGTTGATGCATGAAATCGTACTACATAAGTATACGAATGACGGCAAGACCAACGGCCGATATCGAGATAAGGGTTCCTATGCAATATTTGATTACATCATACTTTGCTGCTTCCACTTGAGCTCTTAACCCATGAATTTCCTGTATAAGATATACAATACTTCAAACATTGACGGTACACGAAAACCCCACTTCGTGGAGGTCAGGGTGCAAGTCTCACCAGCAGAAAATGGATGCAAGTAGGACATTGGCAATGGAGTAAAGGTTATTTCGTTATCCTATCCATTTAAAATAACGGGTAACCAAACAGGTAACTTATCCAACTTATAAAACTAATCCATATTCATACGCCACCCACTATGATGCCGGGTATGCAGGGTAATGATAAGTGAATAAACGGATAAAATTTTTTATACCCATACCCTTATCCAACATGTGGATAACGGGTTTACCCTTTAACCATTACTCATAAAACTCAATTCATATCCATACGCTACCCACTATGATGCCGGGTATGCAGGTAATGATGAGTGAATAAACGGATAAAATTTTCTACACCCATACCCTTATCCAACATGTGGATAACGGGTTTACCCTTTACCCATTGCCGGTTGTATGTGTAAGTTTAATTTGTTGTATATAAATATTATTCCCTTTGTCGCAAAATAACTACCCGCGTTTTTATATATGTTTGTCTCAAAATTTGTGAACAATTTCAAAATTAGATAACTAAATTCTCAAATCAATGCAAAAATATTAGCCAATTGTGAGGAGAGATAAATTAGTCAAGGGTATAGTTGTCATTCAGTTAACTAAAAGTTGTAATGATTATGCATGTCTAAAACTGTGTGTCATTTCTATTGTAGACACTTATTTCCGGATGGAGGGAGTTTATGATTCAAAAAAGAAAAACTTACTCGATCAAGCTTGTTAGTGAGGTTGGTGGTTTCTGCATTCTGATTAGCAAGCTCATCGCGAATACGCCTACACATAGCGATAATGAATGAATCAGATCGAGAATTATCATACTAGTTTTCAATGAATCATTAAACATTTGCATCAAATCAAACCAAACCAAAATACGCAGAAAATCCCATTCAAAAGTAGGGTATGAGGAGGGTAAGATCAACATGAACCATAAAATTCTGGTGATATATAAACCACAGTTTATTCAAATATGAAGCACGTTTATCATGTATTTTGATTATGTTTATACATTCGTTATATGAATCCAAATATGAAGCTTTAAGAAGTCGTATCAGTGCATCATTAGCATGTAATCTTGAATTTTAAGTAACGTGCTTTGATTAAAGTTACTTGCCGCATAAAAAAGGTTTTTAAGACTTCACTCCAAATGTTCTATATAGATGTAGCTAATTAGACTCGATATGTCAATACAAGGGCAACTCCAATACGATGGTATCTTTTCTAACACGATGCATCTTAAAATGATTTTATATAAACGTTACCGTGTTATTAAAGGTCCTTACCCTCTTTCAAGATTTAAATCCAAGCGTTGACCTGCAGTGACCTTGTCGATCTCGTACCTACAGGAATGCAAGATTGAAATTTTATTCAATTGGAGGGCGGGAAACCAATTGAAATGGAAATTTAGATCACAAACCTCAATTCACTTCGCATTTTGTCTATATCAGTCCGCAACTTTTCAGTTTCGCGTTGCAATGAAGAGAAGTGATGTTCCTGCAACATTTGTATGAGATAACGTTCAAATATTTTGGAACTTCAACATTATAGGATGAGAAATGAACAGTTGGTGTGTTAAAATAGAGAAATAGGATAAAGATCATCCCCTTTGATTCGTTCCGAAATAGACGATTGGGCCAATAAAACCATCTCAATTGGAAGGTTATTGAGATTTGAGACGATAAAAGATGTACAAAAAACAGTATCGTTTATCACATCACAAGCCCGCTCAACCACGAAAAAGAATGAAAATATTTTCTCTTTAAATTAGTTTTAGGCCTGATGCAATCTTAATCATTGTAAATATCTCATGAATACGACTGTGTAACATATTGTCCTATTTTGCAGGGGTTATCGTCTCAAATGGCCACCTCATCAAAAGAATTTACTTTATAGTCACCTCATAGGTTTTTCTCACAAAATAGCCAAGAAACCGCAAGGCACTTTTCCTTGCGGTTTTTGACAAAAGTTGATGCATCCAGTGAAAAAGTGAGTCCACCGCAAACACCACTAACAACCACAAGTTGCGGTATTGTAGTCCCTTGTACCTACGCACAAAAAACAAGCCAATGTCGCTAGCTGCAAAACCGCAAGAAAAAGTGCCTTGCAGCGTTTTAATTTGCAGTTTCTTGGCTATTATGTGAGAAAATTTAGTCAAGTGACTAAAGTAATATCTTTTCCTGATGTGGTTATCAACGATGATAACCCTATTTTGTGGGAGTACAACACACAAATGCTAGTAGCAGATATAGAACAGTGCAAAAAGGCAATTGGCGAAGTAGTGACTTTTTAAGGAAATACCTGCGAACTTTGTACTTCGGATTTGAACTTGGAAAGATGTGCTTCTTGAAGCATCACTGTCTGCATACAAACGAAATAAAAGATACAATCTTAAGACAATCGGCATGTACTTCTCATTAAAAAAAGTTAAAACATGTTTCTCGTAAGCATGCCTCCTAAACTACATTTAAAAGAAGATATGTCGAAGAACTATAGACAAAAAACTCAATTTCTTACTTTCTGCATATCAGCATTTGAGGTAAATGTATCCGCTACACTTTCCAAACTGTCATTAAGAACCTCAGTGATAGCAGATGTTATTGCTTCAGCCTGTTTCGAAGGAACACCTTGTGCTTCTAATCTTCTTACCTACGTAAAGAACACCAACCATCATATCAAACAAACACCAACCAACAAACTGTTTCTAAAATGTGCAATTGCTTTCAACCAATTTGATTAAAGACTAAAACTAAATTATAATTACCATCAAGAAACCACAGACCCTTAAGTACTGTCATATTTTAAAGAAACCCATAAAAATTGATTAATCAACGAGTACTAAACCTCCTTCGTCTCTCTAATCCTCTGAATCCCTAAATCTCAACTGCAAAAATAGGTGTCACCATACATATAAACAAACTCATACACATGCATCTCCAGGTACACATTCTGGGTATCTTTTTGTATGCTTAGAAGAAATCAGATCGGCTAATAGATTCGTTACTTTTTGTACTTTAGGGGCTGTTTGATTGGTTTTTCATCAGGTCCTGTATAGATAAATATGTATGTATGGATTAATCTGTCTTTATAAATTGGGAAGGTTTTTGTTTGGAACGGTCTTTTCATAGATGGGAGGGACGTGTTCTTTTATTGGGAGGGGTAGGTTTGGAAAAAACTTGGCTTTCAGTATAGAGCTCCTACCTAGAAGCTTACTGAATAAGCCAGTTTCTATATCATTAGGTCACTACCAAACAGTCACGTATAGCTAAACGAATAAGCTGCGAGTCCTATTAAGCTAATTAAGTTGCCAAGAAACAGGCCCTTAGATTTAAATTTTTAAGTGTAGCCCACCTGGAATGCTTATAAGAGAGAAAATTCGCTGATACTTCCTCCACATCTTATCACATTGCCTTGTAAAAATCTCATCCAATTTGGATACAACCCATGCACCCCTTTACTACTAGTAGTTTCCTTCCTTTCCAAAATAAGTGTCCATGTTTCTATTTTTATTTGTCCCAAAACAAGCGTCTACTTTCAAAAGTAAGTACCTATTTTCGCATTCTACACGTAATTATATGATGGAGAAAATCTCTAAAGTGTAATAATTACATATTCCTAAACCGTGCGGATGTTTCTTTACGGGCACAGTAATAAGATTGGGGTGACCATGTGTCTTCCTTGGAGAATGCTTACCACATGATCCATTGAGCACCATAAGATCTCAATATGGGAAGCAAATCGCTCTATTTTGTTCCAATCGTTGAACAAAATTATCCCAGAGAACACATTTCCAGATTCCTCTCTGTTTGATTAATTGAAAAGCAGCTTAAAAGCATTTTATGCATTCAAAAACCCTAAACATCTTTGGTGTTCAATGGTACATTTGAATTCTTCCAACCAATAATGAAAACTGATCATATAGAGAAATAAATCTAATTGAAACATGGTTGGCAACATACCAGGGCCAAAGTATCAACGAGACAGATACGCACACCCTTAGGGTTTACGAGCTGAGAGAGATGTCTTCTGAAATTGTAATCACAACGATTCGGCACCAACAAAGAATTGCTAAAACCGTTGTTCTTCATCGATTTCACTTGGAACCCTGAATTGATTCCTCTTTGAACAAATCGTCTCAAACCAACAGACATTTTCACAGTTTAATCGATCTCTTATGCTCAAGCGAAATTCTTCTTCCTTGAGATTTTCCGATTACACGAAACTAACCAATCATATCGGAAGCATTCGATCTATGAGTTTAAAAACGGAGCGGTTTTGTGTGTGGGAGAGAGAGAACGCTCAAAACTTGTTCGACAAGAGACAATCTCCGAAAGCGGATTAGCCTCCGGAAAAACCGGCCGATTATGGTAGGGTTTAGGGTTTAAGGCCGGCGGAGTTTACCGGGGATACAGTGGCCGGAGATGGGAAAATGACCGGTGATGGCTTGCCAGGTGGAGATTGCGTCTCTAGTTAAAGAATCAGGTTTTAAATTACTTGCATGGAAAGTCTGGAATATAATTGAATTCTTATTTTCTATAACATTATTTTATGTAAATTAATGGGGAATGAAAACTTATTCTTATTTTGGGTAATGTATTTTTAAAACTTTCATTTTTGTATCTAAGATGTAAAGTTTTAAACATTTAATTACTCAGGTAGCCGGTTGAAGCATCAACTCTTTCTTCTAATAAACCACAATACATAAAAACTAATTTTAAATTAAGATATCCATGTCAGCAAATAATATTGAGTTTGACATCACATCACTCGTTACATCAGCATGGTAACCGGTTAATTAATGTTTCAACCTGTTACCCAATACTTAAATGTTTAAAATTTTACATCTTAGGTACCAAAATAAAAGTTTTTAAAATACGTTACCCAAAATATGAATCAAGTTAAAGCATGTTACTTTTTCATTCAATTTGACATAAATTAACAACATATTTTAATTTACTTTTTCTAAGTTCTAACAGATTATTTAAAATAGAAACTTTAGGGATCTGTATTTTTGTTGTAACAGATTTTCAAAACCTGTTTCTTTAAAAACATCTCTAATGTAAAGTTCTTGTAAAGAAGTGTAATTTCTTACAACATCCAACTTTGTAGAAAGTTCTTATAAGAACCTTATTTCATTTAAGTTTTTATATAAGAACACTGATTCTTAGTATAAAATGACAATTTACTAGTTTTTATATATTTATTAATAAATATATAATAATTATTGATGATGAAAAAAAATCAATCGTACACAAAAAAAAATTATAAGAATTATATCATTGTGAACTTTTATGTGAGTTCTTAATTTAATAACTTGAAAGTGATGTGACAACAAAAAAAACAAAAAGTAGGGGGACGTTAACAAACGTTTACTCGGGTAAGCGATTACTAAGTAACATTACCTTAACCAGATGAATATAGTAAAGACCAAGAATCTTACCCGGTAAGAGCGAGATAAGGACCAAGAGCCTTACCCGGTAAGTGAGAGTAACGACTCTCACCACGGTAAGCGCTTACCGGGTAAATTGTTGTATGAGATGTCGTTTTGATGGACTAAAATCTTACCCGATAAATATATAATAGTGTTAAATTTTACCAGTAAGCACTTACCGGGTAAGTGTTTGATAAACGACCCCTAAGTTCTTTAAAAATCTACATTGGAGATGCTCTAAGAGCAAAAATGAAATTCTCCAAATTTAAATAATTTTGTAAAAATAATCATCATGATAAAAAAAATTACTACATTATAACCAATAAAAGACTTTAAAATTAAATGTTTAGGAGAAAATAATAATATTTTATTAAATGTTTAGGAGATTTTAATAATATAATTAATATTGTAATCTCCAAAATGAATAAGAAATTAAAATTGAATGTAATTTTTTTGTGTAGATTTTGAATTTTGATCGTCTATTTTAGAGAATCTGTTGAAAACGCTCTTAAATCTATTATCTTGAAGCGATTACAAAACTAAGGGATTGTTTATCAGACAGTTTACTCATGTGATTACCAAGTCACGTATTTTACCAGATGAAACATGACAAAAATCAAAAATATCTTACCCGATCTTTGCCATGTGTCTTCCCAAATCCACAAATGGTCACTTCTAGGGGTGCTCAAAAACTCGATCAACCTAACCCAACCCAACGCGAAATAACCCAACCTGAAGCAACCCGATGTCTAATCGAGTTGTAAACTTTTCAAACCGTAGGTATTTGGTTGATATTGGATTACTATTATTTGAACTCAACGCAACCCGAAGAATCCGATATCATTTTATTTTTTGGATTTATTATGATTGTTGAATTTCTATTAATATATACATTAGACAATTACACGATCATGTATGCTTTTCATATACACATATTTTCAATCTATTCATATCTCTATATAACTCATTCATATATATGTTCAGTAACAGTGAACATATATATATATATATATATATATATATATATATGTAAATTATAAAAAATTAACTGAATGGGATATACGTAAGAAATATGGATAAGTTGTATCAAATGGTTAATGATGAAAAAGAAATTATGAGTAGAGAAATAATATATTTAAGGTTAGAAGAATATTTTAATATATCAAAATATCGACCGAACTAACCCGTAGGGGTTGGGTTGGGTTGCACTTTGATTTGAGCCGGGTTGGGTTAAGATTTTTCCAAACCGAAAGCATTGGGTTGGGTAGTTCAAATGTGTTCAACCCGATCAACCCAACCCATGAACATACCTAGTCACTTCCATTATTCACATGCGAAATCTAAAAAACATTGGTCTGATTCCTATTTTGTATAGAATATGTATCTCATATGAAAAACATTTAAGTATCTGGGTTGCCTACCTATCAGTTAAACGGCCTACTAACAAAAAAGCAATGCCACATCAACAAACACCATATCCAATTCAACATTTTCACGTAATCAGACCGTTTACTTAAACACTTACCCAATAAGCACTTAAGGTAAAATTCAACACTATCGTTTACTTACCAGGTAAGATTTGAATCTATTAAAACGACATTATATGTAACAATTTACTCGGTAAGCATTAACCGTGATAAGAGACATCGCTCTCACTTACCAGGTAAGACTATCGGTCATTGCCTTCGCTCTTACCGAATAAGATTCTTGGTCCTTGTCATATTCATCCGGTAAGGTAATGTGAATTGGTAAGCGTTTACCCACATAAAAATTTGGTAAACGGCCCCCAAGTACTTAAATATTTGAGATATCAGATCTTAAATATAAAAATAAAGGTTTTAAAAGTACGTTACCCAAATTAAGCACCCATAACTTTTATGTTCAAAAGCTGCAATCGTGAAACTAACAGCATACCTGTATAAGAAGCAAACTGTTATTACCAAATAACAATCCCAAAAGTGAAGTCTAACCCCAAAATTGCTGTACAATTAAGTTAATCTGCTGTTAACTGATCTAAACAAAACTCCGATCGATGCAGAAACTTAAAATTAGGGTTACTGGTCGGAAGATTTGGCCGAATCACCCGATCCTCTATGGAACGACCCACCATCTTTATGGAACGATTCTTGCTTATTGAAATGCCTCCGGTTACCACGAAAACCACCAGACCCTCTATTCCGTCTTTGACCCGAGAAACTACCTCTATTCTGCTGCTGTTCGTTTGCACCCCAATTCCCACGATTCTGGCTCCAATTTTGGTTGTTATTTCCAGTTGGAGGAACCCATCCGGGTCCCTGGTTCGCGGTCGGTGCACCTTGATTCCCAGGTGGTCCAACCCAACCAGTGTTGGTATTAGTAGGACCTTGGTTCGCAACCGGTGCACCTTGATTCCCAGGTGGTCCATTCCAACCGGTGTTGGTATTAATAGGACCTTGGTTTGCAATTGGGGCACTCCAACCAGCGTTGGGGGCTCCTTGATTCCCGGGTGGTCCAACCCAACTTGGGTTCCCGTTTCCACCAACTACTGGCGCTTGAATTGGAGCCGCAACCCAATTTTGGTTCGGCATAACCCCTTGAACCCCTTGAACCGGTGATGGTGGAACCCAACCCGCTTGCATGTTCCCACTGGCTGGCATAACCCAAGTGGGGTTAACATTCCCAGTTCCTTGTGGACCCTGAACCATAGGACCCCAATTCGGATTGGGTCCAACCCAACCCATGTTCGGATTTGCAGCCATTGTCGCCCAATTTACATTCGGTTGTGGAGGCGGCTGCATATTAGGTTGATTGACCGGAAACTGAAGCTGTCCCCAAGATTCTTGGGGGACTGCAACTGATTGCGGCAAAAAGTTTCCAACAGGATTCTGCACCATGTTTGGAACACCGGTCCATTGGTTATACGCTAGCTGTTGTAATCCAGCCATGTTCATAGACGGGTTCGGTTGTAAGTTCCAACCCTGAGAATTTTGACCGCCAACAGACTGAACCATTTGAGGAACCATATTATTGTCAGGTGGCGGTGCAACCGGTTGACCTAATTGAGAAGACTGAATAGAATTTTGCGAGCCTAAAACCGTACCTTGCTCCATGTTTTGAGGTACAGCGGGGAAAGAAACAGTACCTGAAGAACCAACGGATCCAACAGCATTCGTGTCGTTTACGCATGCAACCAAAGACGAGATGTTAGAACTGGCCAAGCGGACACTATTTGGTGTCGGTGATTGCAGCCCTTCGTTTCCACTTGGATACGAACTGTGTGGTCCCGATTGTCCGCCGATCCAACCAGTGGTACTTTTGTTTGGCGTAGGGGACGGAAGATTAGCGAAATCATGTTTACTATCCGTTTTTGGGCTCTGAACAGTAGCCCAATTTCCGGATTGTGGTTGACCAGGAGCCGAATTTCGTTCACGGGTCAAATGCTGTCGATCTTGACTTACTTGCGTAAACTTTCCCTCCAAAGCATCGGTTAAAATGATCCCATCATCTTCCTTATCACTCTTTCGCCATATTCTTAGACCGACCGGAAAATATCCATTTTTGCTCCATTTCCGCAACTGCACCATGGAAAACGGGCCTTGAATTTTTCCAGACGGATCCTTGTAATGCCACATTTTCTCCGTTTCGTTTACTTTGGGAGCAGATTCGGCTGCAATTGGAGTTTCCATTGGTGAAGCTGCTGCATCATCCATTGGCTTCTCCAAAAGGGTTGGTTGTTGTACAGAAGTGTCCCTTTCTTGACGCCATGAATTTTCAGTATGATTCTCGAGACTTGAAGGTGCGTCTTCAATCCCCGTCGAGAAATTTTTATTTGATAAGCTTCGGCTGAATTCATAGTTTTTGGCTGAAGAACTCTGAGGGGTACCACTCCAAGATTCTTTTGAAGTGTAATCTCCTCTTGGAGAAAACTGATCCCTTCCTCTTTGGTTGAATCGGAAACTATCTGATCTCTTGTAGAATTCTGCATACAAACAAAACTATTTATTTTTTTATTTTTTTTGGGGGGGGGTCTTGAGAGATTAGTCTGTTTGATAGAATTTTTCACATAGTTGATTCTCTCGAGGCCCGCATTCCCAAAAGGATAAAATAAAACAATTTCGCATATTTAGCCATCTATGAAAATGTGTATGATTAGGAATGATTATAATTTATATTTGTTTGAACATAAAGGCAACATGATGAACAGAAATAGAAACTATAAACTAAAACTTCTAAAATACAAAAATACCTTGTTTCTTATCATCCGAATCAGTGTCATCTTCGGACCCATAATCTGGATCCATGGTAGGATCATCATGTATCAACGGAAATTCTTCAAGCCTACGAGCTCGCTCCTCGGGTGTCTTTAAAACATGTAATTTCTCTACACATTCTCTGAGCGTGAATGTAAGTCAAGGATCACCAACACTTAAACTCCATGTAGGTGTTGTTTACCAAACACTTACCCGGTAGGTGTTTATCGGTAAAATCTAACAAACCTATTTACTTACCGGGTTAAGATTTTAGTCCACCAGAACAACATCATATGCAACAATTTACCCGGTAAGCGCTAACCATGGTAAGAGTCGTCGTCTTCACTTACCAGGTAAGACTCGTCGTCTTCACTTACCAGGTAAGACTCGTGGTCCTTGTCTCGCTCTTACCGGGTAAGATTCTTGATCCTTACCATATTTATCCGGTGAGGTAATGTCACTTGGTAAATGCTTACCCGGGTAAGCATTTGGTAAACGGCCCCTTAGCGATTAAATATAGGATTTTTAAGTTCGATATTATATAAACGTATTCAAACCAACATAGATGTAATTGAAAAAGTAACCACGAAATATATAACAGTAAACTTTAATAACAAAGGATATTCCTTCTTACGCCCTAAATCACTTGCTCGATCACGAAGATGACTAAGCCGCAAAACCTCTGTTTCAAGCCACTGCACAAGCAAAAAAAGTAGAGGTGGCAAATTAGCCATCAACTCTTGAGAACAAAATTTATCAGCCTTCAGTTGAGGAGAGCTGTTCACAAGTAGTGGTTATGAGCTCTTTCTTATTCCGGTTCATTTTAACCATTATGGTTGGAGTTTGGGTTGAAATGGGCCAAACAAAAATAAACTACTTGGTCATGTGGGTTGATAATTTTAAACAACGTAAACTACCGAGTTCGATGTTATAGCATGATGGTAACTAACTTTTTGGTGACCCCTATCCTCAAGTTTCAACTTTCATCGTATGTTACTATTATATGCTATAATGCTCAGCAATTTGGCAATATATAATTTGCAATACAGACTTAAATAAAGGACCTCACATATGAAAAGCAATGAACTAACCAACAGACCAATGATGATTTGTGAAAAATATCCCTATATTTGTTTCTTAAAGTCAAATGATGCCACCACTTGAAAAAAATTCTAGGTCCGTCTCCATGCACATGGTTTCATAAAGTCATAAACAACAAAATGAGCCAATTTTATAGAACTTACATCATTGACTCTTGCCACCTGAAGTTCCATGGCTTTGTCCAGAATGTCTCCCTAAAAGAAAAAAAATAAACTTCAACAGAATGAGTACGTTCTTTGAATTAATTCATTTATATGGAAAATAGGTATAGAACATACCACTGTCAGTCTACTTATAAACCCACACTTTATACTCTGCCGCAGCCGCTTGCATTCATCCTACCACAGCAAAACCACATAGTTCAACATATTCAAAGTTCATGTCAACAAAACACAACAATAAGAATGAAAACAGATCATGAACATTTGATTGAAATGATACTGGCTAAGATTTTGGCAACCTAGTCTTCCAACAAGCAGTTGAGTTAAACAGTTTAACCATTTTGTGAAGAAAAAAACCTTATTTACCCGAATCAGTAGCTTTCACCAATGCTTTCTATTAGTTTCACTTGCCCTTTCCGCAAGGTGGGAGTCTTACCGTAAACAGCCTCCATGTCTCCTGAGACAGAGGTAAGGTCTGTGTACCATCTTATCCCACCCCCAAACCCTACCTTTGGTTAGTGAAACCATTTTGTGCCAAGTAATAGCCATGTGAGATTGTTTATAGTAACACTTCAACTTCACCAAGAAGCATGCCAAAGGTATCATGACACAGGGAGTTCAACTACCACGCTAAGGGGATGTTTGGTTAGTTATCCATCAAGATTTATATGGATAAAGTTGTCTGTGTGGATTAATCTATTTGTATAGATTGGGAGAGTTTTTGTTTGAAAGGGTTTTTTCATATATGGAAGGAGCATGTTTTTTAATCCGAAGGGGCAAATTTCAAAAAAAACTTGGCTTTCTGCATAAAGCTCCCCTAGAAGCTTACTAAATAAGCCACTTTCTGTATTAGTAAGCCACTACCAACCAGTCATGTATGGTTGACCAAGTAAGCTGAGTCCCATTAAGCTGTCAACAAACAGACCCAAAGAAACTCTTCTACACCATGATGTAATTCTTTGAAGAATGGCAATGCTTCTGAACAAATCAGATGAATAAATAGAGAGGTTATTGTGTGTATGTCAGATTCTTTCCTTGTTTATAGCAATAGAAGCTCGATACCAGTTATTATAGTTGATAAGTAGTACGCTTTCCTTTTCAATTAAGGCTACAAGAAAAGCAAAAGCAGGAAATAGCTAAATAAATACAAAAAAATAATCATAGCATTCAACAAAAATTTAGAGTCAATCACCTCCATGAACTCCTGATTTGAAATGGTATCAATTGGTATGGTCTCAGTTTTGTCGAGGTTCAAGATTTCAAGCATGGTACATGTCTTCCTTTTGCCAATTGTATATTGCACTGCTTCGCTAGTACCTATACAGAGTTATTGGAGAAGCTTACACCCACAAACTCCTTAACATGGTTATGATGGCTGCCAAAATAATTACTCCATCCGTCCCAAAAATAAATAAACCAAGCGCACATGGTATAACTCACCCAGAGGTAGGGTCTGGGGAGGGTATGATGTACGCACACCATACCTTTACCCCTAAGGGTACAGAGGCTTTTTCCGTGAAGACCCTCGGCTTATGGAACATTTTGAAAGGTTTAGTAAGGGACCAAAAATAGTCTCAGTTCTTGAACAAAATATATGACCACAATAAAAAACACAGTATAAAAAATGTAACTGAATGACGATTTTACCCTTAATGATAGAGGCAAACCTTCTCTCTCTCTCTCTCCAACTCATCAACTTAATAAATTATAACCACCTATTTGTGAAAGTGGACACTTATTTTGGGATAGACTAAGAAAGAAATGTGGACACTTATTTTGGGACAGAGAGAGTATAAAACTGAAAACTCTTGATGTTCAAATAACTTTGAGATTCAGGAAATTAGGTGATAAGCAAGAATCCAGGTCATATACCATTAGGGGGGACTTAACAAGATACCTGTAACTTGCACCAGTCTATATATGTCCTGCTTCTGATTAGCTCCAGATATTCTTATTCTAACAAAAGTACCAACAATCTTTTCATGAAAATTTTCCATATCATCAAGCAAGTCCTCCACCAACTTCCGTCGCAAGTAAATCAAGCTTATGTTGTGGATATCAATTGCAGCATAATCCTCACGGTTGGATTGTGGTCCCCGCCTATCACCTTTCTTCCGCCCTTTACGTTTCCTGTCTTTGTTATCCTTTGCTAGGGTTTCATTGGTTTCATCATCGTCAACCTGGCTAACTTCAGTATCAACAACAGTCCCCTGAATATCATCTATCTGAGAATCCTCTCTCATAAGAAAGTGAGATTCAAGAAGCTTTAACATTTCAAAATGTGCCACTCGTGGTTTACCAAAAAGGTTTTCAAGTCTTGCATCACAAATGATTTGACTCTTACGATGAGGATCACGGAGTTTGTTTCTTTTAATGTATTCAAGCAAGAGATCCTGTACTTCAAACTGAGATATTACAGAACTGTCTCCATTTCTCATGTGCATCACAAATTCCAGAAGTTCTTTTGATACCCACTCGGTTTTATCGGGCACAGACCCCTTAGAACCAACTGCTGCTGCTCCAGTACTAGAGTCCTCTTCCTTAGCATCAGCCTTTTGCTTCTTTGCCTTTCTTCGGGTTTTTCTTGCTTTTAGGTTCTCAGACGGATTATCTGAACCCAAACCCTCGTCATCTTTAACATCATATTGTGCAATTGGAGATTCTTTTTTTCCAGATCCCTTCCAAGGGTTCTTAGCTTGAGCAAGTTCAGCTAAAGATAAATTATGCTTTGCTTTCATTTCTGTCCAATAATCCTTAAAAAGATGCTCCCAGCTATTCTTGTCATCAAAGTTTACATTTCCCTACAAAATAGCAGAAATCAAAAAGCTAAGGTACGGTATGTTCAAATCCTGCAATCACTAACCCAATAAAGCTTCTATCTCTTTATGTATTTCATTTAGTAAAAGAAAAAGTGAGCACATGATCAATGACAAGTTCAAGAAACCAGATGAACCTTAAAACATAAAAGGCTAAAACCAGATGCTAATGCGCAAAGATTACACAAAATTATAGCAGACACAAGTGGTACATTATTTCAAAGGATGAAACATGAAAAATGCATACTGCAACTGCAGAGGAACCAACAAGTGTGAACTTTAGAATGACAGAGTGTGTGAGTTTATTTGTTGCATTTGCCGTATATAAATATTATATACTTCAAAAAAAAGTGTGAACTTTAGAATGACACGAATGACAACAGCATCATGTATGAGTGTACTCCATATGTATACATAGCAAGCTTGTACTTCATGTTAGCACGTCTTCCCCCTTTACCACTTGACAGGAAATTAGTTGCAGTAGGTTTTCTCATATAAGAAACATAGACTGGAACGGGAAGCAGTTGATCAAAGCATCACCACTTTTGTTACCCTCCAACCCAGACAAAAGAATTAGGCAATTACTTCCATTTAAGTAAAAAACCTCCACCACCAAAGTTAGTTTAAAAAGATCCCCCAAGATTCACATTTCCTGATAGACGGAGTCTAAATGTAACCTTGGATGGCTGAAAAGAACTGAAAAGCTTTATGGAAGAAAACAATTGCAAACGCGTCCACTCCTAAGTTGGTGCCAAACCAAACCAAAAAGATCCCGGTATATTCGGCCCAGAGATGGGGTCTTTTTTTGGTGGGGGTGATGTAATCAGACATGTCTTCTACCCCAGAGCGGTTGTTTCTGTTAAGACCTCCAGTTTGCAAAAAGTGTGTACGAAAAAGAAAGCTTGTCCGAAAAGTTTGGAAAAGGAGAATAACTGGAAAAGGGAAAGAAGTTAAGGATATAGAAAAGTAAGCAGCATCATATAATCAAATGAAGAACCAAGGAACAAAGTGAAGGTAAAACAACGACACATTCCCTAGTCTATCTTAGGACTCTGGAAGCCTATCTCACGGCTCACTACCCCACTACCACCTCTCGAGCTCCCTTCCCCCCAATCAGACCAGCTACAGGGTCTCCACTCCTAGGCTGCTACCCTAATCTTACGTCTTCAAGAACTCCTATCCAAGGGCAAGTCCTCGGAAATGCCTAGGCTTCCATGTCTATCCTTAGTACCTCATCCCACATCCTTGGCCTGCCCTCCTCGCTCCGTGACACTCACGCTTTTGACCCTCCTCGCCGGTGGTCCAGAGCCACTAATTGTCTCCTGCAATCGTGTCCAAAGCACCACAATATTCTTTCTCCATAATAGGCGGAACTCCCAACTCCACTGAATATGGAAGGAGTCCAAAAGCAAACTCAATCTTCATTCATTAGTTAGGCACTAAAAGATAGACTTCTTCATTATATGAACCAAGAGATCTTGGATGTGGATCCTGCCTCAACCTTTCTTGAGTTACAATTAATTGTACAAGGTTGTGCAATGCACTATAGAAAGGCGATAAACTCCATTGTGAAGAAACTAGAAATGGATGTTCCATCGACTTTACTTAAAAAAGAATAAGCTGCAGCAGGCATCTATAGTACCCTGTGTATATATATGTTTTGGCAGATCCCATCAATAGCCAAGTAGTTGGAACTTAGAAGTAGTAAACTGAATTCAAAAAAAAATGATGGAAAGAAAAGAAGGGAACCAAAAGCCTGGGGGAACTTTCTTTATCTGTTACTCGCAAATTACTGGATGCTCAATTTGTGTAATTACCTAATGTAATCACGGATTTTATATGATTAACTAGAAACACTGGTGTGTTTTAGTCTGGTTAGATACTTTATTCACCTGTAACAAACTACAGGAGCACTTCCATTTGTGATTAACAAGGCAAATGATGGTACATCTTAACACTTAGGCAGTAATAGGGATACTTTAGTCTTTATAGCTTTACTTGTTCCTCAAGTCTATTTAGGGCTTTCTCATTCTTTATGAAGTGATGTCTAAAGTCATTCTAAAAATTGAAAATAAACAATTATCAACAGATATAATAACCATGTCACTAGCTAGGTGTCCAAGTCTTTTAGACCCTCAAGTCTAATCAAGCTTCTATACAGTATCTAACAAACAATAAGCAGAACCGATGCATATGACTTGCCAGCTGCAGTGGTGGCAGGAACTAAAACTAGATCTATGAGTAAAAAGATAAAGTAAAACCTCAAAGTATACCAACCACTATAAAATATTATTGGAAAACTAAAACATGAAAGATTAAAGCAAAAGCCACGCAACTCTTCATGTTTGCATTCTATAACCTAAAGTACTGACACATTGTCATAAACCCGTAAATTATTCCAGATAAGTATGTTCTCCTAAGCTTAAGTAGAAAAACTACATTCAATAACTTAAAGCTAAAATGGTATCTAATATCTATGATAAGTATTTCCACGATCAAACACCCAGAGGAAAACCAAAAGAATTAAATAAACACACAAAGCATACCTGAGTCCCCTGTTTTTCAATTAACATCACAGTTTTCATGCAAGCCTCACATAGTCCTTTCTTCTCCTTCTCTCTAACACATAGTATAACAGAGGTTTTAATGCATGCTTTGCACAAGGAATATGTGCAAGTATAGCACATGTACTCGGCCTTTTTCTCACAGATACTACACAGGTGCCAGCCTGAAATATAACGTAAAAGATAATTAAAATGCTAGGAAAAATATTTACAGGAACAGACAAGGCGAGTGATAATCGGATAACTCAATCAATAGTTAAATCACATAAGAAATTGAAAGAAGACATGCAACTTTGAGTAAGCTCACGATATTGTATAAACCAAGCAAGTACACAACTGCTAGCAAATTCTAGATCTAAACATGAACCTGATAGTCTTAAAGCACTTCCAAGGAAGAAAGCAGCCGAAATCCTTAAATATATTAATAATTTTATCATGAATCAGAAACAGATGAAAGACCAGAACAACCATCGAAGGTACAGAACATGGTTAAAACTTGTATATAAAATTACCGGCAATGTTTTCAATCAGGCAGTTGTATTCAAATTATTACGGTCAATTCTCAATGGACCTTGTTTTATAATTATATTTCTAAAGTTATTAACATTATTCTCATAATATTATTAAATTTAGATCCTCCCATTATATTAAATCCTTTTATTTAAATAATGCATAAATTGATAGTTTTTTGTCATTTAGAATTTTCATTCAACACATTTATTAAACAAACAATCATTCTTTTTCATTTAGCGCTTTAGACAATGGATTAACATGGTAATTTTTTGTCATTCAGACAGGTCATTGAGCACATAAAAGAACATGTGTTCATTTAGCACAACCTTTTATCCTGAAACCATTTCCTATAAAAAGATATTTACATTCCCTTTTGACGCTCACATGTTATAAGAAAATTTTCACCTTGTATTAAGATACTCTAGTAATTTGAATGCTTGACTTGAAAAATATGTTTGTTTTAGGTGTATTGAAGTCAATTTATTCTCACTATATTTCACTCATCCTAAGATTATCAAGATAACGTGGTGTAAGACCATAATATACTAATATCAGGTCTATATATTATTATATCATTCAAAGAACTATATCATATATCCTCTATTATATTTGGATCTCCTCTTTCCATTTTTTATAAGTCAGTCTATGTTTATCTACACATTTGCTTTACTTAATCATCATCCAAAACTTAGATATCCCTGTCAATAGCTAACCAAGATGCTTATCAAACCACACTCAGAGATTGGATATGAACCATGATGCCATACAACTGAAAACTTATGAATGACTATGAATGGAACTGCACAAATATAAGTAAAAGGGAATAAAGATGGGAAAATAAACAGGTATGTTGAATATATGACAGAATAGAGAACCCACTCACCACAATTCCAGCGACCCTTAGATTGGAAAAAGGCTTCATCACGGTTAACACAAGAAGGATGATAAGCTTTAGGGCAATTCCTGCAGAAATGTAACCACCAATAACAATTAACAGCACAGTCCAATTAATTCAACAACCTCTAAAAGTGAATGAATCAACAATTACCACACTCACCGACGGTCACACAGCACAAGGTCTCCACCATCAAAGCAAATGAAGCAAACATCTTCCTCAATTGTCTTCCTAGGTGCAGCAGAGGACTTTGGGGTAGTTTTCGAAATCTTCCCTCCTCTTTTACGTTTTCCTCCACTGCCTTTCTTAGACGACTCTGGCAATTCTGGTTCAGTCTCAATCTCTGCTTCTTGTTCTTGGGTTTTATCTTCATCTGCTAAGTTTGCTTCTTCCTCGGTCTCCATTTCTGTATCTAAGGATTTCTCAGTCTCCAATTCAGTATCTAAAGATTTCTCAGTTTCCATGTCGGAATCTAAGGATTTCTCAGTCTCCATTGCAGTATCTAAGGATTTATCCTCATCTTCCACCACGGTCTCTTCCTCATCATTTTCTGCAATAACATCAACTTTCTCATCATTTGCCATCACTGTTTCCTGATTGAACTCATCTTCCACCATGGTTTCTTCCTCATCACTCTCTGCAACAACATCAACTTTCTCATCATTTGCCATCAATGTTTCCTCCTTGAACTCATCTTCAACCATGGTTTCTTCCTCATCATTTTCTGCATCGGTTTTTTCATCAATTGCCATCAATGTTTCCTCCTTGAACTCGTCTTCCACCATGGTTTCTTCCTCATCATTTTCCGCATCAGCTTTCTCATCATTTGCCATCAATGTTTCCTCCTTGAAATCTTCTCTAACACCAACAACTTCCTCTTCATCTGCAATCAGTTCTTCTTCCTTGACAACTTCAGCAAAAACTCGTTCTTCTGTCATTTCTCCTTCAACATCATCAATATTTTCTAGCTGAAAGTCTGCAACACCATCGTTTCTAACATCAGAACCGGCCATTCCTTGGGCATTTTCAACTTCTTCCAACTGGACATTGACACCATCCTCTTCTTTAATTTGATTCATTGCTTCATCTCCTTCACCATTATGAATAACAGGCAACACCTCGGCGATATCCTCCTCTTTCATCGCCTCCTTCCCCACCATCTCATCTTTCTCAGTCACCGGAAAATCACCAACATCGGTATCCTCTCCCTTAGTTTCCACTTTTTCCTCCACCACCTCCAGTTCATCATTCCGTTCAACCACTGCCACCTCTCCCTCACCATCGTCAACGTTAACCGAACACATCAACTCACTACCACCACACTCCATCGCTGCCACGTCATGCCTAGGTACGTCAATTTCCTTGACGGCATCTTCATCCCCATTCTTCGAGTATTCCACCACATTCGTCGACTCAACCACAACCGAATTCACAATACCATCGCTCAATGCCGCATCCGACTCCAAATTCCGGCAATGAACAAAAACCTCCTCCCCATTCTCACCCTCCTCTTTTTCCTCCACCGCCACCACCACAAAGGCTTCCGAATCCTCCGATTTGGGAACGGAAACAGATGAGTCCTCTTCTTCTAAAGCGTTTGATTTGGATATCAATTTTGATAGAACTTTCGCAGAATCGTTATCAGTACTAGTAGTATTTTCTAACAAGCTTTCATTGATTACGATTGTTGTTTCTGCTGCCATTGACTCTTGGAGATGGTTTGAGGTCGTTTCTTCTTCAACCTCCATTGCTAAAATCACGTAAAACCCTAACCCTAAGTTTAGTTTTTCTATATACAGATATAATTATCGAGCGTCATGTGGTTTTGAGCAGTGGTTTTAGGAACCAAAATAAAGCAGAGTGAAGTACAACATTAGTCCCTGAACTATTACTTATATGCAAATTTTGTCCTTAACAAAATATCTTTTATAATCTAGTCCTCTAAATATTGTATAATTTAACGGGTGTTTGGACATGCATATGAAGTAGGGATGTGAAGAAAATCAACCGATCTAATTAGTCGGCTGATCCAATTAGGATCGACTGACCATAATTGGATCGGATCGTATTGGAAATTTCAACATTCAATTTGGATTGGTCGGTTCTCGAATGGCAGTTTAGAACTGACCGAACCGAACCGATCAACATCCAGTTACCCATCCAATTAATCATCTGATGACCATTCAGTTGTTCATCCAACCATTATCCAACTATCATCTAATTAATTTAATTTCAAAATGCTTAAATTGGAATTTGTTTTATGATAGGCTTTGAATTTTTAACTTCCCTTATGTTGGTTTTAACGCATATTAAAAGTGATTAATTGATTTGTATCATTGTTAGAGAATTTAATTGGATTAATAGACTGGATGGATTCAATCTCATCAGATCATCTGCTGAATATCCAATAAAAGTATCAAATGGATGGAACCGAACCGATCCAATCATCCATTGGATTGGATTGGATCGGATCGGATCGGATCGGTTGGCAAATCCAACATCCAATGGATGGTTGGATTGGTTCGGTTCCCCTCACATCCAATAGATGTCAACTGATGAACAGGCCTAATATGAAGTGATTGTGCAACATGATTATTAGTTTCAATAGCATAAAAATCGATGTTATGGAAGAGTCGAATAAAGAGTTGTTGTAGAAAACATATTATCGTAAGAATGTAAAAATATTTAACTGTTTTTAGTTTTAATCGGCTGGGCATTCCATTTTAATAGTGATTCTCCAAAGTCTCAACGGTAGTCTTGAAAATGTATATCTAAACTTTGTCCATCATGCATAAAAGACTGGGACCGGTTAAGCCAATTATGAAATTTGCTGGAGATTCGGTTAAAGGTCGGTCTGTTTGGACCAGTTATCTCGTCGGTCAAAAAAATCTGTCAGCACCTGCTAAAAAAGTTTGATCTGGGTAAACAAAACTATAAAAATCCTTTAACATGGGCGAGTTAGGCCTGTACTTTGGCCATCTCTACTCATTTATGTTCGATTCTTTTCATGTGTGCGAACATTCATGTGCAAAACGAAGTTAGTTCATTAGGACTGATGGGGATCAACAGGTATTACAATAGTATCATGGCTTATTGGGTTAAGACGATGTTTAACTTCATAAGCCTTCGTACATGTGGAGACAAGGACTCCAAAGAAGATGAAGAAGACTTTCGGGTGGCAGTTGCCTTCCTAACTGTAACGGGATGTGATTCATCTAATGGTATTTAACATCCAAAAAACTATAAAATAAAATGTGTCATTCTGGTAGCTCGTTTAATGGCACCGACATCTCATCTGGTCATAGATCATTCCCCGAGAGCTTCTTATCTAGCAGGGCATAATAAGTAAGCGATGTATGACCCACAAGCTCTTATCGGCATCTTGATATGTCGTACATAAGGTTATTAATCATATGTTATATAATTGTAGCTTTATCTTGGAATCTTGGTCAATGTAGTCTAAAAAACGAACCAATTCAACTGTACAGATCTAGTAAGGTACAGACAGATCCTGAACTGAGGTCTAACCTGGTCCATGATAGGATCGTTTGTCAGTTTGGATAACAAACTTTCAAACAGTACATCAAACTATAAAACAGTTTTCAGAATATAAAATTTTATACGTGCATTTCATATGTATATCTATTAAAAAAATCTCTAAATGAACGTACACAGTTTGCTATTATCAAATCAAAATGACATTGACTTGACCATTTAAAGGATCGTTGTTTCTTAGGGGTTGTTTGTTTATCTCTTAATAGCTCCATTACGAGTCAGCCTCTGAATCGTTAAGAGGTGAATCTTGTTTGGCAAAAGAAAAGTCTGCTTCTTAATGGTTCTAAAATCCTCTGAATGATTTTGCATCATAGATCTCCCTTAACCATTCAGCGCTCTAATTTCATTGTAAATAATTACCAAACAATTATATTTCATTTTGCACTATATCATGAAAGTCTCTTAATCATTCGAATCATTTTATCATTTTGCAGTAAATCATTCAGCAACTACCAAACAGCCTCTTAGTGCTCTAAGAAAGAACTGATTAAAGTGAAACATTCATACCACTATGTAATATTTAAATTATTTGATATTTTATGATGGTTGATCTTGATCCAAAAATGACAGACATCTGATGACATATTGAAGTGAATGTGACTTACTTATACCACTGCCAACTTTACAAGAACCTACTGAATTGCACTAAAAGATCATTGAAGACAAAATATTTCCTCTGTATACAGATAGGATGGTATCAGTTTTACGTACATACACACGGGATTTAGCAAACAAAAAAACCGAAGTGCACGTATCCGAAAGAAATGTCAATGGAGACTAAGGTTATGTCTTAATATGATGAATTACATAACACGAATAAAGTACATTGTAAGGCAACAAAAAGTACAAGGACTTATTTTGTACAAAATCATAGTAGAGGGATCTATATAGTAGCAAATACAAAAGAAAAAAAACTTAGGGAATTTTTGTTAATGAGCTAAGAGGATGTTTGTTTAACTTTTAATAGTTTGATTAAAAGTCGGTATTTGAATCGTTAAGAAGTGAATTTTGTTTGACAAAAAAAAGTCTGTCTCTTAATGGTTTTAAAATCCTCTGAATGATTTTGTATCTTGGGCCTCCTTTAACCATTCAGCGCCATACTTTTTTTGTAAACAATTATATTTTCTTTTGCATAGTGTCTCATAATCATTTTGACCACTTAATCATTCTGTACCAAATCATCCAGCAAGTGCCACACAGGCCCTTAATAGGATTCACAACTTATTCGGCCAATTATACATTATTGTTTTGTAGTGGCTTAATAATACAAAAAATGGCTTATTTAGTAAGTTTACAGGGGGAGTTTTATGTAGAAAACCACGTTTATTCTAAATTTGTTCTCCCAATTAAAAGGCGCGTTCATTTCATCTATCAAATAGATCTTCCAAACAAAAATCTTCTCAATCTATACAAACAGATTAATCTATACAGACAACTTTATTCATACAAAACTATCAAAAACCAATAAAAATAATCTCTTACATAATACAGGCTTTTTTTTGTCATTTAAAAGTTAAAAGATCAGACCTTAAACGTATAATAGCAGATATAATGCAAGAAAAACATGTTTGCAAATAGAAATGAGATGGGTATCGAACGGATAATGCATCCTCATCTCCAACCCTACCCCGACTAATCCCTGTTGGGTTCGGGGAACTCGTTAGGTACCCATTTAATAAAAAAAAGAATTATAATTATAATAAATTGTTACTGCATTAATTACCAATATTGAAAATCAAATATTTTTGTCATATAATAATTTATATGTTTATATACACACACTGTATACATATATTGTGATAACTGGGTTCTGGTTATTACCCAAGATATTTATTATGTGAATTAATTGTTTATGTGTGGATACATGCTTACGTAAATTTAAAATGTGAGTATGTATATTTTTATGCATAGGGATATATGCATAATATGTATATATACAGGAGATATATACATATTTTATGTACTTGAAATGGGTATATGCATGCATGTATGGTAAGGGCGGTTTAGCCTCCTTACCTTATTTAGAGAGTATAAATATGAGGGTAAAACCCTCATATCTCATTTCCCTGGTTATTTTGAAGAAGAGTGAAGGTTAAAGTGAGGTTGATAGATTTACAAGTGCCTGATTTCAAGAAGTTGAATTTCAGTATTTGATTTCAAAAGCTTGATAAGGTGGGTAGTTTCTAAAACTCTTTTGCTTTAAGATTATTACTGGTTTCATATGAATTTTATTTGAATTTGGATAGAAATCAGTCTTTTTGCTCTAAGTGTTTATCCGGATGTTAAACCGGACAAGGTTTGTTCGGTTTATTCTAAATCGGACAAAGGGTGGAAGATAGTGTTGTCCGGATTGTTTTAAACCGGACAAAGCGTGAGCGGAGTGTTGTCCGGATTGTTTTAAATCGGACAAAGAGTGGACTAAGTATTGTCCGGGTTGTTTTAAACCGGTCAAGTCATGGACGGGGTATTGACCGGATTTGTTATCCGGACAAATATGTTAGAAATTATTTCAAGTGTTAAACCGGATAAGCTTTAAGCGATATCTTATCCGGATAACCTCATATTTGGAATTTTCACGAGTTTTATATTTTAGACTTTTAATAGTTTAAAATGTCTATTATTGGGTTTATTTATGGATTATAAAATGAGTATTTTATATCTTTTTAAAATAAAAATATATGTTCCTACCAAGCGTGGTGACGTAAGTCTGTTTTGGTACGAAACTATATTTTGGGAAACCTTCCTACCAAGCGTGGTGACGTAAGTCTGTTTTGGTATGGAAGTGGATTTTGTAAATTGTTTCTACCAAGCGTGGTGACGTAAGTCTGTTTTGGTATGGAATTGGATTTTGTAAATTGTTTCTACCAAGCGTGGTGACGTAAGTCTGTTTTGGTATGAAACTTGTTTTAATTAATAGTTCCCCCAGACGTGGTGACTTTTGTCTGTTCTGGCTTGGAACTGGGAATGGGTACTTTCAGACGTGGTGACTTATGTCTGTTCTGATAAGTAGCCCTGTTTTGATGGAGGAATAAGGGTGGCATATCAAGGAGAGGTGTACTTGGAATAAGGGCGACATTGTCATATGTGGATAATATTAATAACTCTTATTATTACTAATTGGTTCTAATAACTTTGATTTGTCATTTCTTTGTGACCTGATGAAGTAAAAGATATTATTTCTAATTAATAATAATTTAGATGTTATTGAGAAGGGGAAAATGGTTTGTCATATCAGGCAAGTTTTGCCTTAAATCTTTCCTGTTAAAGGAATGATCTTTTAATTCAAAAGTTTTGATTATAATGTTTGTTTCATATTGGGAATGTTGGATCTCTATTCAGAGATATTTTATAGAATTGAGGTTCTTGGGTATACTCTATTTTGCATAATATTGTGAGCCGCATCAAATGTTGTATTACATAATTTTTTTTGCATCAAAAATTACATTGTCATATTTTGGTATTCATTACCCTGCATTTGCAAAGAAGGGATTTACTCACTAGACCCATATGGTCTAACCCTCATTTTCTGTTTTAAATTATGCAATGCATGAATAGCTGAGTCCGGGGATATAAAAGGGAAAGGGAAAATGTGATTATTTTCCTAACTTGTTGTCTACTTTGAAGATACATGTTATATTACATGTAGTAGTACATGATTTACTTTGGAAATTTTATATGTAGATTTTGTACATATAGCAATCCTTGTACTAATGGGACCTTTTGATGTAATTCATGTTTCTATGTAATGAAATATGTGTTCTATGCAAATGTGGTGTTTGGGGGTGTTACAGAAGTGATATCAGAGTCTTAGTTTAAGAGATTTAGGTATTCAAAGCATGATACCTAGAAAACACTAACACGACATGTCACAAATTGGACTATACAAAATTGGGCTACTACCTTTGTTTCATATTTTTGCCTTTTGTGTGTTCTCTGTTGAATTAGGTGTTCAGTCTACGTGTCAAAATTAAACACAAAAATGGTGTTTTTAACTGACTCGAGACTCATGGAAGATTGTCTTAAATACGTTACGGTAGGTTCAAATTGAGGGGATCATAACACAATATAACGCAAGGGTAATGGACCTAGAATCTGTTTGCTAGATCCCTTCTGATTCTGTGGATTGTAGTTCAATAGGCAAGAGCACCTCCTTGTGATGGCGGACGTTGTAGGTTTAAGCCCCGTCAGTTTCGACGGATCGTATTCGTTCTGCAGCACAAATCTTTTACAGGAACAAATTGGATTGGCCCCCATAAAAGAAATGCAAATTACATGGCTCAATTTCGTAATTTAAATGATGTCAGTAGAATGTGTGATTTTACCGAGATATTTACAGATGAATATGTTTTTATACATATATAGTTTTAATGATTTTAGTATGTTAAAGTATATCCATAGAAAATACATTTTTTTATTAACCTGGATATCCAACCCGCTATGCGAGCTGACTAATCCTAGGGCGACCACCTGCTTTGCAGATAGCCCGGAGTCACCGCATTTGAACCTCTGTGGCTACAAGGGGATTTTTATTCCTCCTTAGATTTGAACCTGAGACCTCCGGGTACTTTTGACCTTTGCAGCCAAGCTCAAACCAATCAGGTATAATGACGGAGGTCGTCTTGCAACAGATCTTAAAGAGAAGATTCTTCGCATAACCCTGATGATCTACGATCGTGTTGATAATGTATGGGTTGCTTGCATTTTGAGATCTCACACTGAAGTTTCTCATGTTTTATGCTCGCCAAATATATGAACATGTATATACTCACTACACGTAAAGCTTATGTGAGTCATGTATGTACGTTTATGCAACAACAGTTAGAAATCGAGAGACAAGCTAGCAGAAGTCCTTTAATTGTACTATAAGGGTCTCTTTGGTTTAGGCAGAGGAAGGAAAATGAACACAAACATGACAGGTAACGAACAATCTTTTAGAACCGAACAGTTTTATTTTATTTTCAATCTCATTAATTACTGTTTAATACCTTTAACCAAACACCCCCTTAAGTACCACGATGGCCATATACGTGTGCTAGGTTGCCTTCAACTTCGTAATGAACGCTTCCGCGTATGTAGAATAAGTGTATGAACGTTTCCGCATATGTATAAAACACTGAGCTAGATGGTAATCCAGGGTATATTTGATACACGAGACAAGAATGGATGTGACAACAATTATTTTTGACCCATCTTTTGCGAAATATTAGACTATGGCAAGCCGAGACTAAATGGAAACGAAAATCAGAACGTTTGACACGATTAGTAAATTACCAAACTACCCATGTCAAATAAAAGCCTTAAACCTTCTACAATTTTTTCGCTTGCCTAACTCAATCTCGAATATTCAGTCCAGTCCAGTCCCATCTGGTTACCAAACGCACTTTACAACTTATGTTGTCGTGGCGACACCCAAACTGAGTGTTACATAATCGAAGCTCAAAGGGTTTGTACATCCGATGGTTTGAGTAAAGGTCATACCCTCCGCCCACCACCGACCATCGGTTTGCCGCCCAACTACCATCCATGGCCTTTTCATTGCCTATGAGGCAAAGAACCGGTGAAAAGCATTGTATAGACGATGCATTGATACATCTAAATGCTGTGTGCTAGTTAACTAAAACTCGTTCTAAGAAACTCATCAGAGGTCATGCCCTCCACCCTCCGCCCACCAGCAACCATCGGTTGCCGCCTAACCACCACCCATGGCCTCTTCATTGCCTGTGAGCCAAGGAACCGGTGAAAAAGCATTGTATACACAGTGCATTAATACATAGAACTGCAGCCTGCTAGTTAACCAAAACTGGTTCTACGAAACGTCTTTGGAGGGTGGACCAACGCCAACCACTGGTTGCCGCCTAACCACCGCCCACGGCCTCTCATTGCCTGTGAGCCAATAAACCGGTGAAAAAGCATTGTAAAACACAGTGCATTAATACATCAAAATGCAGTCTGGTGGTTAACCAAAACTGATTGAAACATCTTCGGTTAAAGTTACGTATAACAGAAAAAGGGTACAACCAATAACTGCATTAGAATCTAAAATTGCATGAGATTCGAAGAGAAAAGAGAACGCATTTATGAACAATTACAAATTCGGGGTTTCGAGAGCCACCAACAATCTTGGATTTTCCGTCACAGTAAGGAACTCTATCATCAGATTTAATGAACATTTGCTGCAATTGGAAAAAAGAGAGGATGACCACCACATTAAATGGTAAAAAGTATGCCTTCAAAACGGTTGATCTCCCCTCGATTCAGGGCTAACAATGCAGCGCCTGCTGTGATAATCTCCAAGACCATCTTCTTGCTGCACGCGTAGAAGAAATAAACATCAGGGATTGCGGATTATAAGAACGAGATAGTAGTTGAGGGTTTGATACAGGTTGCAGTCACTTTTTGTTAACGTAGACATCAAATTAAAGCAGATGCACCTTTAAGACTCTTAAAAAGGATTTCCACTACGTCTGCATGATGTAGCCGTAGCAAGGGCGCCCCTCCCTCCTTAAGGGCATCTGCAATATCCCACATCGGTACGGGAGGGGGAACTAAGGTTGACTTACAAGAGACTGGATACCTCTTCTATCATATAACGTTTTAAAACCGTAAGTCCGAGTGTGGACAAAACAAACAATATTTGGTACGGTTAGCCTGAGATGTTATAAATGGCATCAGAGCCAGGAACCGGACTGATGAGCCAGCGAGGACACTGGGAACCTAAGGGTGGGTAACACCAGATACATAAAAAAATGGTGTGAAATTTGGTGCAAACAACAAATCTACTTCAATGGGTAAGACCAAAATGTAAGGTTCTAACCAAAGGGCCTTTGGCCTAGCGATATTCGGGCCTTTGGCCTAGCGATATTCGGGCTTTTGGCCTTCATGGGAGGACGGGATTCAAATATCACCAAAGGTGAGGAGGGTGTGTGAGTTTAATTGCTGCATTTGCCGTATATAAATATTATATACTTCAAAAAAATGTAAGGTTCTAGGTGTATTCCTTTTTTTTTTTTTCCATTGGTGTAAATGAACTATGTTACCGCAAATTTGGTGTGTTAATATTCATTACACCAAATTTGGTGTAAATTTGGTGTCCCTATTAGCAATGGTCTAAATCCGCGTTGGTTTACACTGAATAGTACTTAAAGAAGATGACGGCCTCGTACCCTGACCTATGTATAGGATAGATTGGGTACGTTTGGTTCGGTTTACACCTAAACTAGTTGGCGGTACATGCCTCTCATGGTACAATTTAATTAACATGACATCGTTCGGTATACACTAGCAAGAACCGATATGAAAGCATAACATAATAAGGTCACTCCAATTTTACGAGAAGTCATTGGTTCGAGTGATCACGTGTACATCCTTCCTCCCCCCCCCCCCCCCCAAAACACCCAAAAAAATATCCTATTTTGGAATGCTTAATTGTAACATTACCTTTCTTAGGCAAATCTTCGATCCCTATTTTTATCAACTATGTGGCCAATCAGATGTACTTTCATGAGACGAAATTAGACCAATATATAAAACACCATAGCACCATACACCTTGGATTATGAATTAAATGACTTTCTGTGACGCCCTACAATTAAACGGAGATGTATTTTCTATTTTCACTGATAGAGCAGAAGTGTAGTCCAAGTCTTTTTATGAGCAAGGAAGTTACTAAAGGTCCGGGCCGTTTGACTCTATTTTGTGGCTCCCATCTTTACTTATCTCTGGATATGGAAATGAGACCCATGAAAACTAAAATGAAATGCACTACAAGAATACACACTAATTTGAATACTGTTATAATATGTTAATCCTGCACAAAAGAATGATACTCAACAATACTCATTCAGATGAGTCAAAAACAAAAATTGTAATAACTTCCGCAAACTGAAGAAAATAGGAAGATTTTGTAATGGATAATACCATCTATACCTCAGTTACTTCCCAGGCTCTCTTTTAAAGGATCCAACAGGAACCACGCTTGCACAATCATTATTACTGCCACTAATATCCATTCCTTGTTCCTTGAGAAGGAAATCAGAACAAACGTTCCAAGTTACGCACAGGTTGTTATGATCAATTAGTTGCATGAAATGAAAAATCAAATACAGTATTTACAAGGTTGAGCAAATTGCCTACATCCAGGGTGGTTGCTAGGATTCTTATTATATAATTCGTAAGGTAGTACATTGATAGGAAGACTCCCTTATTATAAAACACACACATTTAAGACAGAAAATTGTCAGTATAACTCCCCAAACGTCATATTGCTTTCTGAGCAAAGATGGGTCCGCAAAGATGTAGAACTGTTTGAAATTCAAATCAAGCTCCACATCCAACATAGATAACATCAAAACTAAATTTTGCACAACATAATTTCAGCATCGAAAATGGGAATGTAAGATTGCTTATAAAAAGGGAATAAATTTGAGAAGCTAAAAAGGAAATCCATTTACATGCAATACCTGATTGTTTGAAGTTTGCCCATGCATCCGTTGAGGCTTGGAGTTAAGATCAATCAGCTTATTTTCCATCCTGCCAACACCATCAGTATTATTTTCCAGCATGCCTATGGAAGATAAGCGGTGATGTTGGTTATCTCTTGTTGTATGCTTGGGTTGATAATTTGGTTCCCTCCTTGCTTCACCAGGATCAACAGGATTCGACCCTAACTCATCGTCACGACCACTTCTATCCCCTGGAAACTACAAAAGACTCTCATAGAGTAAGTCATTGTTTTGATGTGTTTAGTGCATACACCCACAATTTTAAGCAAAGGGAAGTGGTACAAAACCAGAAACCTCGACTCGTTGCCTTAGTAGCAGATATCTTCCATGTGTTCGTTTACCACCAACATGAACAATCATGTCACACTGTAAGCAGAGAGAACTTCCATCGATTCCACAGTAGAAGAAAGCTACACACAGATTGGTAAAAGAAAAATCAAAATATCATATCATGTAACACCTTGATAAACAAAGTAAAGTAACTATGGCTACTTGAAGAATGTATATATATATATATATATATATATAACTGGAATACCTGGTGCATTTTCACATATGTCACAGCGTGGTACATCACTAGGATCCGCAAGTCCTACCCGTACATGCCGACTGGCAAGCTTATTACACATATGCACCTGCCCACAATTTTGCAGATGTATATTAATAGACAACTACAAGCATCTTTTGGGACATTCATTTCAAAGGGGAATCTTTGTATGGGTCAATTATATAACTACTAGGTCTATCGGTATAACCCCACATTCTTCATTTTCTGGGACAAGAAGTTAAAACTAACAAGGATGATTGCTTTGCAAGGAAACTCGGGAAACAAGGTGAGTATGAGCAGATGACTTCATAAAAGCTTGATTTAGGAATGGCTATGGTTGCATTTGCTACAAGGGGAAACAAGATTCTAGAAAGCAAGGAATCAGATGCAAAGAAAATAAAGAATTCAATACAACTATATTTGCTATATTACTCCACCATTGGAGTGAAAGATTAACAACACTAACTGCTCAATGAATGATATATTTACTTTCTTAACTGATATTTATATCATCATAGTCTCCGGTCTCCCAAATCTTATGTTTCACTTCAAGAAAGAAGTCATGATTAGGAGATTTTCGGTTCACCATGAGATTCATGATTTGTCACTTTAAAGCATGTCCACAAGTGGTGCCAGCCCAATTTGACCACTTCCATCAAATGGAACTTGGACGTAAAATCTGGCTGTATCATATTACCATTTCACCGTGATGGGGTACTACTATACGGTATTAAAAAGGTAAGCTTAAGACAACAATTAACTTGAAAGGGTGGTATGTTCTGGAATGGAAAAAGCTTGAGTAAGATAATTGCATTTGGTGTTTCAGAGTGTTTGGTCGCTTGTGATCATAAAATCCTAAAGAATCTCATGTGTAATGGAAGTCCGACATATATTTGCTGAAAATAAGTGTGTCCAATCACTCCATCCCTTCTACCGTCACACCGAGAATATATTCCATATTATAAAACACTCAAAATATGGTAATCTTCCAAGAGATCAAATCTTGAACATCACTGCATTCAATTCCTTCTTGAACATTAAGATGCACAAAATATTACAGGTCAAGTTTTCCATAACAAAGAAATATGAGAACAAAGAAAAAGGAGTTTAATGTATTCCACATCTCATACCTATATATATATATGTTAATTATAGTGAAATTAACTTTATCCGACTGAAGGGTACCCCCTCTTGACAAACCTTGGCTTTAGTAGTTATATATGATACTTCAATGTTAATTATCTATCACAAATGTGGGTGTTTATTACAAATTCCAAGGCAACAAGGTTCATGTCCATGAACGATCACATTATAAAAGCTAATATGCAACACCAATATATCTCTAGAGTAGCAAAAAAGGTGGAGTTCCATCCAAGAAATGGCCATGATCATGTCAAAAGAAAATCAACCTTCCTAGTATGGTTTTAATCAAGAGTGATTATATATGATTAGACAATTGAGATGCAAAAAACTCGACCCCCTAGTCTACCCTAACCATTCGAAGCATCCCATCCATGTTGCACCACAGGATCATTAAGAAATAAACAATTTGGGAAAGACAATAAAAAGATAAAAAATAAGGACTAGACAAATAAAAGCATGGTCCTAATTCATACATCTGGATGCCAAATATGTGCTTAAAGAGGTGGACCCATAAAATAAAGAGACAGAAATATAAAGATGTGGCTGTTGCATTCCTAGAAAGAAAATCATTCAAAAAAACAACCCAAACACATGCAATCCAAGAGACAGCAAACAAACCATCCAACCAAAAGAAAAGAATTAGCCTAACTTAAGACTAGAAATCAAAATAAGGGAAAGCAACACAAAGATGATGTGGTGTAACTTTTTTTTTCTTCATGTGACCAATATTTAATCTCCAATCCAATGAACTTAAAGTAGATACTCGATTTATTCTCTACATGTCGACACCATTTTCACAGGATTTACTAAATGCTTTCTGTTACTGAGTAAAGCTTCTTAATATGTCCTTGAAAACAATTCTATCAAATTTAACATCAAAGCTTTGCAAATAAGCAAAAATGGCTTCGGTTCATTAAAGCTATTTATTACTTATCTACTGAACTTCATCCAACCAATCCAAATTAACTATTATAAACTTCTGATCCAAATCTCTCAAGATCCTTCTAGTCTTAATGTTCTCACAAAGAAAACTACCTTACACGAGGTCATGATTTGTGTTAAAATCACTTTCCTCAATTACAGTACAAGGGAATTTATGTTCAAACACAATGATATAAACACACAGAGGGTTGGTATACATAAAATAAAAACCCTATTACCAAATCAAGGATCAAACACTAGATCCACTAGAAATTACACCAATAATTCGATAATAATCTCTCGTTTATTTCACATAAACACGATGAACAATCAAATCGAGCTATAATTATCAAACATAAAGTTAAAATTTTCTACGTAAAATTAAGATTTTGAAAAATCAACAAACTTAAACCTTTTCGTCACAAGCACGGCAAAGAGCAGCTTCATCAGCTGCACAAAAGAGAATCGCAGCAGCCCTTTCGCAAACATCGCACAATGTTCGCATAATTATAACAACTCTTCAAATTACTTGTGCTTTTTGATACTATCTCATTTCCCTTATCAAATAACTCATGATTCTCTGCTCATCAGATGAAATTGTGATCACAAACTACAAGATTTAACCCCAAATTTTTTGATGTGCTTTAAGAGACAGATGAATACTTTGTATCAGAAAAAGGGCAGAAGGAGAAGAAGCAAAGACGAGATATTGACGACCAAACTCTGTGTGTGTGTGTGTGTGTGTGTGAGAGAGAGAGAGAGAGAAGAGAGAGAGAGAGAGGGGGGGAGGGAGGAAATGGAAGAAGCTTTAAAGTCGATTTTTCTTTTTCTTTTTTCTTTTTTTTAATTTTTTAATTTTTTAATTTTTTAATTTTTTTAATAACCCTTTAAAAAGTTGTTTATTTGATTTTAAGATTTTATCCAAATCTATATCTGTATCTGTACTATATTATAAATAATTTAACAAAAAAAATTAAAAATTATTTTTTATACACAAAATATTATTTATTGATGCATATTACTTAAAATTCAAGATTACAAGTAAATTTTGTATAAGTATAACTTATTAAAATTTTATGTTTGAATTCATGTAACTAACTGTGGATAAACATAATCAATAAAGGATAAACATCTTATTTTAAAATATATAAAATCTAAAATATAATTAGGATAATTATTGAGTCTAACAAAATACTTAATTTTTATCTTTATAAAAAAATATTATTAAACCTAAATTAAGTTACTTCGTTACGATAAATTAAATTATAATAAAAAATTTAAATTGAAAAAAAATACACAAATAATAACTTTTAAATAGTTAATTTGATGTTAATATTAATATATTTTTTGTAAATTTTATATGATATTTTCAAATTTATATTTTATTTAAAAATAAAAAAATTATCGCTTTCTCAAAACCACATAAAATCCTATTATATCGACATAGATAAAAAAATGAAATGAAACATTGAAATGAAATGAAACATTGAAATGAAAATGTGTCTCGATGCATTGCACGAGTATCATTCTAGTATATTTTAACATATTTCAACCAAACATAAATTGCATGAAAAAGTAACGTAATTTAACTTGATTCCTACTTCGGATAACGTACTTTCAAAAAAATTATTTTGGTACCTAAGATGTAAAGTTTAAACATTGAAGTACCCGGGTAACCGGTTGAAGCATTAACCGGTTACCATGCTGATGTGGCGAATGATGAGATTAAATTTAGTTAAATGGTAAATAATACTAAGTTGGATACCACATCATTCGCTACATCAGCATGGTAACCGGTTAATGCTTCAACCAATTACCAGAGTACTCAAATATTAAAAAAAAATTACATCTTAGATACCAAAATGGAAGTTTTAAAAGTATGTTACTAAAAATAGAAATCAAGTTAAAATACGTTACCTTTTCATGTACAATCAAATGTATTTTAAAAAAAATTTGTGTGTTATTTTGTTATAAAGTGTAAAAATATCAGTTAAATTTTTGGAAAGTTTGGGTGTTATTAGATGTGGTCTAAAAGATTAGTTTATATGACTGTAATAATTTTTCACATACTGGATTTTAATTTTTACAAACCTGTATTTACAAAAAGAAAAAATTCAAAACAATTTATACAGTCAATGTATTCAAACATAGATTTACGACCATATTTTAGAAAAGTTTTAACTCACATTTCTACATTCTATAAAAAAATGTACAACAAAGACACTGATCAAATACTTGTGGGTCGTTTACTAAATGCTTAGCAGGTAAGAGAAGCTTACGAACAATTCATTTTGATGTTCAATAATATTACAGACAATATAAGTAAGGGTGATGGCTCTTATCAGTAAATGCTTACATGATAAGCATTTCATAAACAGCTCCTTAAAGTCCATTTGATTAGCGTTTTCGAAAAACGAAAGCAACTCTTTTTATACATAACGAGCTCACTCCACCTTTTGTTATTCCATTTATGTGTGACTTGCTTTTAACGAAGCGAAGATAGGACGGGATTTGTAATCCCTGGCCCCGACCCCGATTTTTAGTAACAGTCCCCAGCCCTGGTCCCTGGCGGGTACGGGGATTAACATCCTATCATCGGTCAAACCCCATGAAGAATATCCATCAGTTTGAATCTACCGCGGATCCCCAGCTCCGAGACCCGTTTTAGCGAGAAATCCTTGTTCGGGTCGGGTGAGCCGGGTTCCCCACCGGGTCGGGGCAAATCACCATCCTTATTAATTTCCCTTGTAGATATTGTATTGTTAAAATTTAAGAGGTTACCTGAACACAAGATAATATAAATATGTATAAATGACGACCATAAATATTGTGATAACTGCGAAGACCGGTCTAGTCCAATAATTTCATTAAAATAAAATAATATAATGGTAATTACTAATTTATATGACAATGATTAATTAAACTAAACATTTAATGTGATGATTAATTACAAAATAATCAATATCATCGTTACAAACACTGAAATCGTATATGTTCATAATTGCCACAAGTGTTCATATATGTTCAATTTGTGTTCATAATTGTCACAAGTGTTCATATATATGTTCAATTTGTGTTCATAATTGCCACAAATGTTCATATATGTCAAATTGTGTTCATAATCGCCACAAATATTCATGTATATGTTCAATTTGTGTTCATAATCGCAACAAGCGTTCATATATGTCAATTTATGTTCATACGGATATATACATGTCAATTCGTATCATATATGTCAATTTGTGTTCATAATTACCAAGACACTCGCTTTGAATATTTACTTCACTTGCCGATCTCGAACTCTGACTGTCACCATAAACAATTTTAACATTCTCAATGTTGTTGTGTTGTCTTCCAATGTCTTTATTCATAATTGCTTGAACGATAACAAACACTTTACTAGCGGATCTCCTTCACAATCACAAATTTATAAATATTAAAAATGGAATATCAATATTAAAAAAATAAAAAAATCACAAGATCAATATTAAAAATACAAAAATCATGAGATTTTATAGATCTTGTAACTCCCAATTAATGATATAGGAGTTACAAAAAAAAAGTAAATTACTCATATACCCTTAACATTAAATTATTAGATAGAGTAGAACCTAATACTAAGATGGATTGTGATTGGTTGAAAATGTTCATAAAGTTAACACCATAATTTAGATTAACATTTGAACTAAACGCTCTCTCTCTCTCTCTCTCTCTCTCTCTCTCTCTCTCTCTCTCTATATATATATATCACATTTTTGCTCTAAAACGTTTCTTGCATTCAAGGTTTCTAAAAACCCTTTGTTTAAAGTTCAAAAGTACAAGTTTCACTGACGACCATTTTGGTAAGTTTTGTGAAAGCCTCCAAAAGAAATTCGAACCAAAGTAGCATCTTTTAGTAAAAAGGTGAAATGACCTCAAAATATCAAAGGTGGAGGTTGCTATCAGTGCGAAGTCAAGAATCGTCTTTGAACTTATTGTCGACAATGTAATGTTGTAGTAAATGTATGGAAGCGGTTTTATTTAAATCTACGCTTCACAATCTTACTGATTTAATAATAATTATAAGAACCCAGAGTATTTTTATGGACTGTTATCTTGAATGAATTGTAAAAGATGTTACTCAAAGTAAATCATGGATTTGGGCTATGTTTGGCAAAGTAGCTGATAAGCTAGCTTATTAACAAATCATGTTTGGCAAAACTAGCTGATTAGATTGTAAAATGATCAAAAAAGGGTATACTGAAAAACTAATTAATTATAATATTTCATATTATATAATTGAAACAAATACAAACAAGAAGTTAATTTTTTTTTAAAATAACTAAAGGATCTTTGACCTAGCGGTATCGTAGCCCTTGGCGTTCTAGGAGGTCAGGGGTTCAAACCTCACATAGGTGAGGAGAGTGTGTGAATTTATTTGTTGCATTTGTCGTATATAAATATTATATACTTCAAAAAAAAATATATTAATTAAAATAATTTCAAATTGATTATATATATATATATATATATATATATATATTATAATATTTGAAATGTTAAAACAAATTTT